AAGACCCTCTCTTTTTCAAAGGGTGCTAAGCAAACGCTGAGCAACCAGCCTTGTGTTATTATGTTGAATTTTTGGGACCTCTGTATCGACACTTTGTCACTATAATTGATGATAGCGATTGTGATTGTGAGTGTGGTGATGGTTTTGTTCTATTGTTGTTTGTATTGCTGCTGTGGTGGTGGTGGTGGTGGTGGTGGCGGCGGCTGTGGTTGATTTTGTTGTTGGTGTTGTTGCCATTGCTGGAGTTCTTAATACTTTTGTTGCTGTTGTTATTTATTGTTGTAAATGTTGTTGTGGTGGTTAATGTTGTTGTAGTTCTTTTCGTAAATGTTATTGTTGTTGCTGTTATTGTTGTTATTGCTATTGCTGTTGTTGTAGTTGCTGTTTCCCTTGTTTGGTAGGTATTACTATTAATCTTGATTGGAACATAATGTGTCCCTGGTTCTTCTTTAAAAACATACTTTAATAGGTATTGAAGAGGGTTGGGGTTATTAGTTAACACACTCTTATATGAATAATCCTTTTTTTTTCGCTTTCTGTATAACCAACGGCTCTCTTAGAAGAAAAGAACAACAACAGATATCTTAGTCACTCAAGACGGATACGCAGTATTTTTTATTGTAATTTATTTTAGCCCATTAATGACCATACACGTGGTTGAGTCAGATATAACATACCAAAACACTCGACAGTTTAACCTTTCCACAAGTTAATTGAGCTCAGGACGTTTGCCTACGACGGCCGCTACAGTACAGAAGCCAATAGTCTTATAAATTATTATCGTAGTTATTATGTTTAGGTTTTTATTATGTATTACTATTTGTTTTTGTTTTTGTTTCTTTTATCTTCTTCTGTTGTTTTAACCTTCGTATCCGTGATCTCTTATTTAAAATAATTTAGAATTATCAACGCAAAGCTGAGAGAGGAAAGGAAGAAGGTGGTTGAAAAATCTGCACAGTTGCCACAACGGTCAGCCAGACTACGGGATAGTTGGAGGTGAGGATTATCTTTATTTGCTAGTATAGCGTGCTATGTATTAAACACTCTATTGAAAAAAAGAACCGTTTTTTGTTTTAGTAAGAGTTTTACGGCACTTGCCACACAATTAGGTCAGGTAGGTGCCGAAGAATAGATGTGTTACAAGAGAGTAGCATATACAAAAAAAAAAGAAGGACGGGAGATAAGGACGATAGATGTTTGATAGGAAAGAAGAAGCAGACCACACCAAAGTACCCACCAAACACCCTATTTAAAAAAGCACTGTTATTTAAAAGACAAGAGCTTCAAAATTAATGTCCTTCTCTGAGAAGATCGATAGCAGCGCTAAGTAAACGGAGAGCCTTGAAAACTCTCCAAATAAACATAATTAATATTAAATTATGTTTAACATTATCATTATCTTCATTATTATTTCAAGAGCGCTTCTTTAGAGATTTGAACTTGAGTCATCTGAGTTATAGACCAGCATGATACCGACTGACCTCATACAGCTTGCACTTTCTTCAGTGTTGTTAGAAGCATCCGAGTTTTATTAATATTTAATTCCTATCGTTTGATCTCAGTGCGGAAACGTTGATTAAGATTAATCGATTGACACATTCATTTAATATTTCTAATGGTTGATTAAGCTACTCTTGCAATGAATAAAACGGGTAAGAGTAAGAGAAAAAATAGATCACTAGAGTGATGGAGTTTGTTGTCTGCAATAATTTCCGTGTGTTTGTTTCGTTCGTTAATGATAGTTATTACGCTGCTATTGTTGACTGTCAACATCCCAAAGAGTCAATAAATGGCACATTGTTGATTATGATCTCTACCAAATCTCTACAGCAACTTTTGTTTTGTATTTACTCTGTGCCACGATTGTAATTCCAAAATCGATAAGAGTAGGCTTCGGCCGCCACCTGAGTCAAAAAATTCAAAATTTCCTACCAACTGAAAATGTGTCCCTCGCGCTCGTATGACCCTATGCTATGCAGTTGCGAGTGTCGTAAAACACTTACTAAATCAAAACCAACAAAAATTGTAATAACAACTGTATGTGTTTTTCGCTTGTGCGACACACTGTATGATATCGTAATAGAACGCGGGCTGCTTCCACCTGCAAGCCTCGGCCAACCTGGGTTGAAAGGGTCGTAACGTTTCAGCGGATAGACGAAGATACTCGATTAATAATTTGTTTTTAAAGAGAAAGAAACTAAAAAAAAAAAGAAAGGAACACCCCCCCTTCCAACAAAACGGCTTCCCATACAGGAATCAAACTCAATACTTCTACCCAAACGCTTCATCTCGGACGCCAGCATATTAACATAAACTATTGTGTTTATAGAAGAAAAAAAATGAGTGATAGAACTAAATTGGCACACAACACCAAAAGAGGGGTAAAACAAAAAGCTCACAATAATGTCGGCGGGGAGATCAAAGACAATTGCTTTGACAAACGAAGCGAAAACAATTACTACACTGATGATAAACAGCCTGAAAAAAGACAAATAAACAAACAAACAAACAAACAAACACAAATTACAAAACGCAAGACTCTTTCATGTGGTAATTTATGAAAAGCAAAAAAACAAACCAAAAAAAACCCATTAAAAATTTGGGGGGAAAAAAGGATAGAAAATGAAATACCCCTCCGGTGTTCAAGCAAATAATTACCTGTCAAAAATCTGTTGTGTATAATATTAAGGTTTCCATTGTCGAAATTTCACAAACACATTCGTTCTGTAAACTAATCTGCTGAAAAACAATAGCTCAGCGTAACGGTAAAAAGAAAATCATAAACTTACATAAAACCTAACCGATTTGTCTTGTTCATGCGCTTTTTGAATCATAATAATAATATCAGCAACAACAATGAATGTCCATAATTTTGATATATATGCTCCTATATTCGCCTTTCTTACGACGGGCAATTACCACTTTTTTCTTCCATCAGCTCTTTTGTTTCTTCTTTTTGGATAAGATATGTTTTTAAAAAAGAAAAAGAAAAAGTATTCAAAGAACGTTTATTAATGCTTCTTCTTTTCTGTCTGCATTACTTTAATTTTTTTTTAAAGTAAATAATAATAATTAAAAAACTCCTAAGAGAAAACAAATAATTTAATCAGTACTACTACTTTTTTTCTCCTAGCGTTCTCTTAACTCCTCACTTGTACAATTCTGATAAGCGATCTCCTTCTTCTCTCCTCGCCAGGTCTCGAGAGCTGGGATATTCTTTATAGTGTGTAGTAAGGAGGGTCGGTCGGATGTAGGCTCAATCGTTCACTTGCTGTTCATGAATCAGTCCTCGATAATATTTCCCCCCCGGAAGAGACGAAGAGCGAGTCGAAGGTCCTTTGATTGGTAGACTGGCGAGGGAGGAGGGGCAACGCTTCGCCGAAACGCCGCACGCCGTCCGTCCGTCTGTCTTTCTGTCTGTCTGTCTGTGAGTGAGGGTGTGTGGGTGTGTGTGTGTGTGTGTGTGTGTGGGGGGGGGGGTAGGTAAGGGAGGGTTGGGAGATGCCTGCCCCACAACGTCACTGACTGACAACCTGTAAGATGACGAGTGTGTACCGTTTCTATAAATATATGTATAGGCATATCTATACTTCTTTCTTCTTGTTGTTGTTTTGTTTGTTTGTTTATTTGTCTGTCTGTCAGTCTGTCTGTCTATCTGTCTGTTTGTTTTTCAGTCTTTTTTGGGGTAGGAAGGTTTTCCCCGCTCTATACAGCTGTTAGATAGAGTTACGAAAGACCTTAGAGGAAGGAGAATTTAAATAAAAATAAACTTAAAGGTTCTCTAAAAGCACTTAAAGCACCAAAACATAGATAAAACCCGAGGGGTACAAAGAAAAGAAAGGAGACGTGGGGGGGGGGGATTTAAAAGTACACTAAAGCGGAAAAGTTGGGGGGGGGGCACCCTCCCGGGGACACCCTCCCCCCCCTCCCCGAAATAACTATTATAAGCATAAAAGGAGGACTGGAAGAAAGACAGGCAACCAGAAACAGAGGATACCCTTATGACCTTATGAAAGGGGGAGCACAATTACATCACTCCTTACTACGTCGTACCAGGTAGCGTTTTTATACAGGGGAAAAAGTCCCCTTTTCATGGTGCGTCTTTCTATCTTGGTTTTATAGCTGCACAATTAAAATTAAGGAAGTTTTGGGCTTTTGAAAATGCGTAGTTTGTGACCTAATTACATATCAATATCGTTATAAATGGAAAAAGACATTTTAATCAATTACTCAACAACTATTTACTGTTTACGTCAGCAAATCAGACACACGTTGAATTGCTCAATTAATATTGACATAAAAATAATCAGATCGTGCAAATTATAGTTAATTTGAAACACATACAAAAAGTTAGATTTTTTAAAGCCATTCTTGTAAACTTTCATTTTTGGCATAATACAAATACAATATACGTTTTTCTGTCATAAGAAGGCAGAGTTGTACTGCAAAGCTTGCAAATTATTATTCAGTGGGCCCCACTTATAACTGTCACGGTTATTACAGGAATCCGGCTATAGCAGTATAACGCTCGGCTATAACAGTGGTCCAACCATCGACAAATTCCTGCAAAAGACAGACAAGCAAGCAGGGGGAAAAAGCAATTTATGAAGCATAATATTATTGATATCAACAATGAATTGTGTTCCGAAACGGTGGAATCAGGCGCTCGTTGATTATCAAACTTTTTAATATTTATTCTTCAAGCTTGTTCTATTGTCTTTATTTTGATGAGGAAAAATTAGCCCTTTCTCTTGAAAACTTTTTTGAATACTTGCGATCGAGGGACTTGGGGGTCTCTGGTGTCACAGGAAAAGTAACGAAAAAATGGCCGTCTAAGTAGGTATCATAATAATAATAATAATAAAAATAATAATATCATATTACATTTTATTGATTCCCGTGAGGAAATCTGAGTTACAAGGGCAAATAATTATACATGTACATACATAAACACACAATATTCACAGATACCTTCATAAAATATGCATACATTAATTACACAATTACGACAATGCCGAACTTTAACAAACCTGCTATTGCTGGTCACCACTGTGCAATGCAAATGTTGTTTTTTTAAAGCTAATACGGGGTGCCCACTGCGGCTGGATCGGGCCGATCGCCCGACTCGATCGTCTGAAACTGAAAACAAACACGTTTGTTTTTGAAGCGACTGAATCGGACGATCGGCCCGATCGGCCTGTCCCATCCGTAGTGGTCACTTCGTATATTGTCGTATATATCTTGCTCAAGGACACACCCAAGTGACCGCCCACATAAACCCCGTGTCACCGACACTTGCTTGAAAATAGCATTATTTTTTTAGTCTGAACTCACTACATACTTTGCCACTGGAGTAAGATGACTATTAAAGATTGTGAGTCCTTGGAAACTGCACTTATTAACATTTTTTGTGTGCTACTGATCAACTGTTTCAGAAAAATCCACACAGAAAGTTGTATTGAATGACATAAACGATGTTGAGCCGGGGAAAAAAAAAAACTAGCAAAAAAATGTCCAACCGACGGAAAAATGTCGTTTCTTCGTAATCAATATTTTGACGAGCGCCCGATTTCACCACGATGTCACACATAATACTTTGATAAATTGCAGCTTTGTGAGTCACTGTAAGCCTTAGTTTTTTGTGTTTTTTTTTTTAAGTACGTATAATGATGTGTGATAACGGTTGCACATGGGATCGGGATGGGGTGGGGATGGGGTGTGGATGGGGTGGGGGGGGGGTAAAGCTGGCTGTACTTTGATGTTGATACAAATCAAGCCAATGACTTACCTGGATACCAGAAGGTATCATCTCTGACTCAGATGTAGGCGTGTAATGACCCTCCACCCTCCCTGATTGCACCACACAACACCACACCACACCACACCACACCACACCGCACCATTTGTGTAACACTGAGCAATGAAGGCCCCCAGTTCTATGGATATTTCAGGCCATTCACCTTTTTTTTCTTCTTGTTAAGCGTTCTACGGCGCTTGCAACTGCATAGAGTCATGTGAGTGCGCGTGACACTTTTAGCATTTTCAGTTTGGTTGGAATTTATTTGAATTTTGCCGAATATAGCAGCCAGATCTTACTTTTATTGATTCCAGGGCCACCAAGAGATCCTTAACGTGCGCAAATTGGACACGGTACCTCCGAGATTTTTTCGCCCTTATCTAAGAAATTGGTGTTGGACCTTACCTACCCTAAGATCAGGGATGTGGCTGAAAGAAAGACGTAAGAAGGAGCTAATGAGTAACAGTAGAAAGGCTGCAAAAAGAGCCAGGAACCCAGAGGAGGAGGCACAAGGGGAAGGGAGCAGAAAGTGGAGACAAAAAAACAGACAACAGAACATGTTTAGAAAGCAGAAAGGTGAAAGGACACATTTTTTTCAGAGAAGAAAACGTTCCCATCGCTGTTAGGTTTCGAACCCAGGATCCTATTGAATGAGAGACGAACAACGTGGTACCTCAAGACCACGAGAGTCCCTCCTGCCCCTCTCCCCCACCAACCCCCTCAGCCTCCCACTCTCACACACCCACACACACACACACACACACCCACTCACACACACACACACACACACAATCACACACACACACACACACAATCACACTCCCATTCACCTCAGTTCTCAACATTAATTCCGAGTGACTCCTCGTCGCGATGTGAAGACAATAGCCACTTCGGGGTGCTCAATGAACGAAGGTCTCACGCTTCTTTCTTCACGAGACACTGTGAGTGGGTGTCCTGCGGTGATTCAGCGAAAACGACACCTCTAAAAAAATAGCTGATGAAATAGGTAGACCTATATTAAGCTTACACCATGCTGTTGAAAAGATTTGCATTGAGCAAAGCGTAGGATCATATTCCACAGGACAGACCACCGCCCCCCACCTATACTCCCACCCTCACACAAAAAAATATTATATTATATAATTTAAAAAGTGAATAAAGAATAAAAGAGATGAGAACAGGAAATAACAAACAAATTCTAAAAAAAGAAAAAGTAAAAAAAACCAGTGACAAGAAAACAAGAAAATAGAAAATTATGAGAAAGAAAGAAACACAATGATAATTGAACAGTACCATATTTTGTAACTGTCAGCATGTGTAAGAGCACAACAAACTATAATTAAGAACCATAATAATTATGGTTCCACTAAATGTAAATAACTACGGCCACCCCTCCCCCCCCTTCCCCTCACCAAAAACACACAAACAAGCAAAGAAAAAAACAAATAAAAGTAATCAAAACGAACAGTACCCAACAGTTCTTTTGTTGCAAGTCGGTTCTTTAGAATTACAATGTTACGTCTGACATTTTTTGGCCGTTTTGAGTTACTTAGACAATGAGGTCAGCAGAAGCCCAAAATTCTATGTGCTGTGTCAAAATCGTCAGATTATTGGGAGTCGTTATCACGATTTTCAAAGAATGGAAAAGCTTGACATGTTGTGAAACTCAAAATCTTTATTGACGTCCAATGTCTCAAAACTAGGCGAGCAGATTTGTTTGGTTTTTATTGAGTAGATATAATTTGTTATTCAAAGGTAGCGAATTAGATCTATCCAATAAGGAAAAAAAAAACAGTAAAAAAAAATAAAAAAATACAAACTAAAAGCATTGGCCAAATCGGCAAATGTACTTTGTGTTCTTTGGGATTCTTTTTGTAATGAGGTATTTTGTTTTGTTTTATCTATGTGACTCTTTCCGAAATGCTTAAACGTTTAACAATTTGTGTCGTCAGATTCTTGAGCACTTTTCCGAATCTGTAAAGTGGATAATTGTTGTGTGAAGACGCTGTTCTCTCTATTGTTCACTCTAATTTAAGAATGTTGTATGTTGCTACATTAGCAATAGCGTCACTTAACCTAATGAATCTATACTTAATAACTGATGCAATAATGAATAAAATACATCTCGTATTAATCATACCATTTAAATTACATTTGTATTCAGAATAGAATGTAATGTAATTAAACATAAATTA